TCTTTGTGATTATATGCTTTTTTTTTATTCAAAACTTTGAACATGTTCATGAACTTTGAATCTAGGTTCATTAGGAACCCTACTAATTGGTCACACTCATATAGGTGTTAATTTAATGATTGAAAAATTTCAGAAGGAGCAAAAATTTGTTGAGTTTCAAATAAGAAAAATTCTTAATGGTAAACAACTACCTAAGCCAAAGAAAAGTATAGTTGAACAAGAAAATAAGATCATGAATGTTTTTAATAATCAATCTATTTGTACTACTATAAATTTTCTTAAAGAAATAGCATAAAAACTTTCTATTTAATTTCTATTTTTAGTATTACTTTTGCTATCATACTATGCAATATATATAAACAAAGGGTATATGTTGCAGTATTAAATACATATTACTATTATTAAGCAAAATGCAGATAAACCTAATTTAATCAATATATAACAATTATTGTATATATATATATATATACTATATATTTAATATAAAAGCAAAAATAACTTTGTACAATAGTAGAATTTTATCTATTATAGATTACATTTCTATAAAATAATGATAAATAGTTTCTTAATACAATAAAGCCAAGATGTGAATATTTAAGCTTTCACAATGACAAACTTCAAAATCAAAGTTGAATTATCTATATAAGGCATTAAAATAATTAATCATATAAAATTTAGAAAACAGTTAAGTGAACAATTTAACAAATTGTTTAACTGTATAATATAAACTAGGAAATGCTAGACAATAAATAGTTAAAGACAACAAATGTTCTAATTCCTACTATCAATAAAAATCAAGCAAATTGGTATTTTAATATCTATATACTTTAATTTTCACTGATAAATTTTGAAGTTATTTAAATAATTTAATAGTTAAAAAAGTCTTAGATATTCTTTATTTTGACTATTAAATCTATAAATAAATTCAAAATTCATTGAGATATGAGCTATAAAAATTAAGATATGTAGGTATTAAAATGTCAATATACTTGATTTCTATTGACAGCAGCCTACTTATATATATGTTATTTTTTAACAAATGACTTGAAAGATATTAGATAATCGTAAGTATTTATGTTCTTGACTTATGAACTTTATGTGCATGAGCTGAATGAAAAGCTCTAGGTCATTTTTGTGAATACATTTTTTAGCAAATTCAATTTAGCATTTAGGAGCTCCAGGCACAAACTCTGGTTATGATCTATTGCAAGTTATTTGTGTTCTTGGTTGAACTTTGGTTTGTTTTTAATTTTACTAATTAAAAATATTTTTTATACACATAATAATTGACACAAATAAATGACTAGATAATAGTAAGTATTAGTACTTTATGTTTTGGTTTGTGAATTTTAATTTTGCCGTTTTTAATTTCATTGATTAATAAATATTCTTTATATATATGAGCTAAATAGGCTATTCTTGTTAATAAGAATTCAAGTATCACTTAATTAATTCAAAATAGTATTTAGAAAATCCAGATTACAATCCTCTACAAATCTCAAAAAGATTATTGTAAATGAACCATTTTGAAAGGCACTAAGTAATAGTAAAAAGTTATGTTCTTAACTTGCATACTTTATTTTGCTGTTTTAACTTCACCAATTAATAAATGTTCTTTATATATGTAATAATTAACATGAATGAAATAGCTTGAAGGATTATTAGGTACTTGTCTTTGTTTTGCTATTTTTAATTTATCACTTAATAAATATTCTTTATACACATAGCTAAATTAAATAAGTAACTAAATAAAATAGCTTAGGGTATTAGATAATAGTAAAAATATATGTTCTTAGTTTGTAAACTTTATTTTGCTGTTTTATTCCTACTAATTAATTAATGTTCTTTATATATATTATGATTAATATAAATTAATTGGGAGTTCATAAGTAAGCCAGAGAGTAATCATAGTAAAATATAACTCAGATTACTTATAAAAATTAGGGTTGCAAATGTGGTCTGCACAAATCTAAAACTTTTTTTATATTAAGTTAATCACTCTTCTGACTTAAAAGGCTTTTTAAAGCTTGTTAAGACGTATTTAATAGTAGTTAGAACATCAAAATCGGCCTTGTGGGTGCTGAGATATCTTTAAAAAACTTTTCTTTACTATGTAATTTCTTTGCAATCAATATAATCATTTGCAAAGAAATTTATATAGTAAAAGAAAGGTTTTTAAAGATATCTCAGCACCTACCAGGCTGATTTTAATATTCTAACTACTATTAGATGCATCTTGACAAGCTTTATAAAAGACTCTTAAATTAGAAGAATAATTAATTTAGTATAAAAAAAGTTTTAGTTTTGTGCAGGCCATATTCACAATTTCTAATTTTTATAAATAATCTGAGTCACATTTTACTATGATTACTTTCTGGCTTACTCGTAAACTCCCAATTAAATAAAATAAAATTTGCTATTTTTACTCAAACTTTGATGATATATAGCTTGATAACTATTAATCAAATAGGCTTAAATTTTTAATATAGATAATATTAATAATATTCTTATATTAAATATACAAATTTCAGCAGATTTGGTTAAATAGTTTTTGAATAATCGCTTATATTCAATAGTAAATTTTTTAAAACAATAAACTATTATATATAAACAATTACTTGAGGACTACTAGACTAATTAAGCTAAAATTTTTATATATAGTATATGAATATCAATACTATCTATAATAAAAATTTTAACCAATTTAAATTAATAGTTATTGAGATATCTATTGTCAAATTTGAGTAAAAATAGCAATTTTTTTTAATAATTGATTTTTGCTATTTTTACTCAAAATTAACAATGAATATCTTGATAACTATTAATCTAAATTAGTTTAAATTTTTATCATAGATAGTATTGATATTCTTATACTATATATAAACATTTTAGCTGATTTGGTTTGGTAGTTCTCAAGTAATCTTTTGTATATGATAGTCATTGCTTTAAAAAAATTGACTATTGAATACAAGCGATTATTAGAGAGCTACCAGACTAAATCTGCTGAAATTAGAATATTTAATATAAAAATATTAAAACTATCTATAATAAAAATTTGAGTCTATTTGGATTAATAGTTATTGAGATATTCATTGTTAATTTTAAGTAAAAATAGCAATAATCAATTATTAAAAAAATTCACTATTTTTACTCAAATTTGACAATGAATATCTTGATAACTTTTGATCTAAATTGGTTCAAATTTTAATAATAGATAGTATTGATATTCTTATACTATATATAAAAATTTCAGCAGACCCAAACTTATAGCAATTTGGTATGCTTTACTAATGACATGCTCAGGAAGCACAGTTGAGATGAATATGGATAGTATAGTCGCAATTTGTAGTATCCAAAAAGCACTGGAAAATAGAAGCTTTAGAGTATCTAGTAAATTAAAAAACTATTTAATTGTAGACAAAATAGTTGAGACAATTCAGTTTAAAGAGCTCAATTTAAACTTGATTAAGGTTAAAGCACATAGTAGTATTAAGTAGAACGAGATTGCAAACAAGCTAGCAAAAGATGGTGCAGCATTAAAGGAAAAGTAGTCAATCTTTGGTCAAGTTCGGTCTAGATGGCTGTTTAGTTTAAGATGGCAAGATAAACAAGTAGATTCTCCAATTAGATCTTTTATACTTTAGGTTACTGGTATAAGAACAGAAAGTGATTAGTATATACAGAAGAAGGCTCATCTTTATAGTGAAAATAAGAAAGCTAAAAATCTTGTATGGAGTAACTGTTGGAAAAGATTTAAAGAGATTAGAGGCATTAGATGTGACTCATTTGAAAAAAGTCAAAGATTAATTAGTTATATAAAGAATTTGTCATGACTTTTCCCAACAAAGAGTGTTCTTTATAAAAGAAGACTAGAAGTGTACTTGGATCTGTTCTGTGTCTTTTGCAAAGAAAATAAAGTAGAAAATGCAGATTACCTTATGCAATGTCAAGCATTAGAAGAGACATGGAGAGAGATTGAGAAGTTCAGTATTAGTCTTGCCTGGATATTGATAAACGAAGTATATAGAGCAGCTATAACAGTACACGATTTGTGGAAAACTATTTTCAGGTTTACTTGGGTTAAAAGAGTCAAGGCATGCAGTCTTCTGTCAAAAGGCCTTTTTAGATGCAGTACACTTGCATAGTTATATAATGCGATAGAAAACAAAGTAGAAGCTTTAGAAACCTAAAGGTAGCTAGTTTTGGTATGCAGAAATGCTTCTATAGATTGGTATGGAGTGAAAGATGTAGAAAATTTATCTTATAGAAAAAAGAAAACAATATCGGCTCTGAGGAAAAACATCCAAAAAAGAAAGAGAGGGAAAAAAGATCTTATGAAAAAGAAAATATTGAACCTAGTCTAAGTAGCATTGATGAAAACCAATCTAGACTGAAAAAGAAAGTAAAGATAGTTGAGATAGATCCTTTGGTGAAGTTAGAAGCAAGGTATCTGTCAAAGATAGCTATTAAACAGAGAATTTTAAGTTCTAACTCACCAAGTTGGTAAATAAAAAAATTGTAAATAATTAATGAGAGCTAAGCCCAGGCTAGATTATATCTTTAAATATATACGGGATATGGTGGCCAACATCAGTGTAGTAACCAAACTTGGGCATCTCTATGAGACAGCCAGGTTTTAGTCTAATTAGATTATTAAATAGCTTAGTTTTGTATTAAGTTGTAAATATTTAATAAAATTTAGTATATGGTTATTAAAGAAAAAATAAAAAATAAAAAATAAAAATTTCAGCTGATTTGGTCTAGTAGTACTTGAAAAATAGCTTATATATGATAGTTAATTTGTTTTAAACAATTGACTATTGATATATGCAATTGTTCAAGAATTACTAGACCAAATCAGCAATTGATTAGTTGTCAACTTTTTGATTATTCAATTTTTATTCTAAGTTTTTAATCAATTAGTTGTCAACTTTTTAATTAGTCGTGATTTTTGATTTGTAATACTAATAAAAATAGTTATTTTATCTATAGTATTATAAAACAGGTTTTTACAATATAAAGTAGTTTAGTATAGTTTATATTTTATAGTTTATTATATATATATATATATTTTTTTTTATTCTTTGACAGTCTTGTCGGTGCTCAAATACAAATTATATTACTATTAGACTACAAAACAAAGTTTC